CAACAACATCCTCTTCACCTCAATGGCTTCACGTAAGTGGATTCAAAATAATTTCTCTATATAATATATCAAGTTAAGTGAATGAACATATATAATGTAATGTTGTTGAAAATTGTGGTTGCAAGATATGTTGTGTTCGGGACTAAGAAGCATGGGAACGGGAAGATTGATGAGCTAGAGAGGTATATTGAGTCTTTGATATGGGAAACTGTTAAGGAAAGAGAAAGGGAATGTGTGGGATTAGATGACTACGAGAAGGTAATCTCTAATCTAACTATATATATTTGTATTTTAATATGAATTATTTATATGATTTTCTTTTTGTTTTTTTGAAACTAACATTAATTAATTTACTTTCTAAAATATACTGGGTCTCTTTTAAAGCTCGAAAAAAACAGAGTTCTCTAAAACGAGATCGGTCGAGATTGCATAGGTATGTCTATCGTGATGAAATTGTTAAATAGATATTGGGCTTTTAAGCAATTCAATCGCTTTAAAAAAATTTTGTAATCGTGAGAGAAAACTTTAGGGTTTGATTGTTTCAATTTTGATTTAGAATACGGAATTTTCGTTTTCTTTTTCTTTTTTTAAATAGTAAGGTAAATTCTAAATATATTACGGATATTTTTATCAAGAAAATTTCTAATTTTTAAAAATTAAAATTTAAGAAATAATTATGACGGTTTGCCTTAGATATTAAGGTATAAATATAGAGCTTCGGCCACACCATTAAAACTCATATTCGTTAACCTAAACATATAGTTTTGATAATATATATATTTTGTATTGTTTTGGAGCATGTCGATCGCAATATGCTAGGATAATGATTATGATTGTTTTCTTCATGTTGAGATGACACTGATTTCATGATTTAATTTTTTATAGATTCTGATTTCTTCAAATTGAAATATTAATTATTTTTACGTTTGTTTGCAGGTTGGATGTGTGGAAAGAACACATCGATGTTGAAAACGTTGGAATGCAAGCTAACACAGCCAAGATATTGGTCATGCAAAGATCTCTTATGATTCTGTGACTAAGAATTTAAGTGTGACTTGGGCTTATGAGCTAACAACCTCTGATCCTAAGGAGAGTTCAAGCCTTTCTTACATCATCGACCTCGCAAACCATCAGAAGTAATGTTTGGGTTTATAGCTGCTGCTGGAACAAACACAGAGGAACATAGACTTTTATCATGGGAGCTCAGTTCAACTTTGGATATCGAGAAAGCCGATAGCAAGATAGGATTGGTAGTTGGCATTTCGGTTTCCGGGTTTGTTTTACTGATAGTTTTGGTCCACACGATCGTGGTGGTTTGGTCACGGAAGCAAAGAAAAAAGAAAGACAGAGATATAGCAAACATGATATCGATAAACGAAGATCTTGAAAGGGAAGCAGGACCAAGAAAGTTTTCTTATAAAGATCTTGTGTGAGCAACCAACAGATTCTCAAGCCATAGAGAGCTAGGTGAAGGAGGATTTGGAGCGGTTTATGAAGGAAATTTGAAAGAAATCAATACAATGGTTGCGGTGAAGAAATTATCCGGTGATTCAAGGCAGCGAAAGAAAGAGTTTTAAATGAAGTTAAGATCATCAGCAAACTGAGACATCGAAACATGGTGCAACTCATTGGTTGGTGTAATGAAAAAAACGAGTTCTTGCTGATATATGAGTTAGTGCTAAATGGTAGCTTGAACTCCCACCTCTTTGGCAAAAGACCCCATTTACTTTCTTGGGACATAAGGTACAAGATAGCTCTTGGTTTAGCCTCTGCTCTGCTTTATCTTCATGAAGAATGGGATCAATGTGTACTGCACAGAGAAATCAAAGCAAGCAATATAATGCTTGACAGTGATTTCAATGTAAAGTTAGGTGATTTCGGTTTGGCTCGGGTTATGAACCATGAACATGGTTCCCATACAACAGGATTGGCTGGAACTTTTGGGTACATGGCACATGAATATGTAACGAAAGGAAGTGCGAGTAAAGAGTCTGATATATATAGCTTTGGAATTGTTTTACTAGAGATTGTCACAGGGAGAAAATCGCTGGAACGAACGCAAGAAGATAACAGTGATTCAGAGAGTAATGAGAAGAGTCTTGTGGGGAAAGTTTGGAAACTTTATGGAAAACAAGAAGTGATGACTTCGTCTGTTGATGAGAAATAGGGTAATGAATTCGATAATAAAGAAGCTGAGTGTCTTCTGGTTTTAGGGTTGTGGTGTGCTCATCCTGATAAAAAAGCTCGAGCTTATCATTGTAATCTTTTAAGCAGAAATATTCAATAAAGATTTTCTCTTCATCCTTGTCTTATTAAGACTTTCAGTTGCTATGTATTACATCTCAATAACTACGACTTCTTCTTCTTCTCCCTAGGTTAACTCAAATGGAGTTTCGGTATGTATTACATCTCAACTCTGCTCTGTTTTTTTTTTCATCTTAAAGTATTATTGGTCATGCTCTTGGAAAATGATTATTCTTTGCATAATCATACTTAATATCATTTGTACATTGTTATTAATACTACTTTGTATGTATTAGAGATGAGAATATTTTAAACATTCCAGTGGTCTCCTTCTTTTAAGTTTTATATATATATATATATATATATATAGATAGGTAATACTCGATCTTTTATGAACCGGTGGATAGGTAATATTCGATCTTTTATATATAATTTGTTTTCATTATGGATTTATAATTTAGATTAAGGTTCCAATGTTTCCACGTTTTAGAGTTTGTAAACGTGGTATTTCTCTTTTTTTAGTCAAGCATAAATTCTCCAAAAATATTAGGGTTTGTTTGATCCTTTTTCTCTATGAGCGGCTATCCAAGACGAGTTCAAAGTTGAGATTGTAGAGGTATCATTGTTTTTTATTAGTGGTTGTGTTTTCATATTGGTGTATTTCTACTTTTACATTGATTTCTCTGGTTGTGAATGATCGATCAGTTGATTAAGTTGTTTGATATTTGAGATTTTGGTTCTTTTTGTTTTGTTTTAAATAATTTGTGATTTCGTATATTTAAAATAATATTTTCATTTTGTCTTTCATATTTATGATTCTGTTACATCCAGGGATGGGTTCATACGAAAAATATAGATATTTTATTTAGGATATTTGCTTTCTTGAAATAAAAAGTTGAGTGAATTGTTTTTAGGTTACGCAATTTTTATTAGGTTTAAAATATTTTGAGATTGCTTTTGATCGTGCAATATACGGATTTGTTAGTGCCAGATTAATTTATTGAAAAGTTGTTCCTCCTTCTTTTTCTTTATTTTATCAATACCCTAAGAGATCTAATATCGTATGCATCAATTAAGTATCTTCTTTTACATTATCGGTGGATCCATTATTTTCTTTATATTTATGGATAGTAAGAGATCTCACCGAACTTGATGCAGCTGCAACTACGTTACAACGGTGTACAAGAGTTACATGACCAGAAGGAATTTTGCAGATTGTGCCATCGTTGTTGAGGAGCTCTGGTGAGTTACTTGATCCATCTTCTTCTTTTTAATTTCTTTTAAAGATGTTTAGACTAACCCTAATTGGTATTGCTTGAAATGTTGTAGGTGGAAGACTCTAGAGGGTGATGCTCTGGATTTGAGCTATGTTCTTTTTTTTTTATAAGAAGAGAAACATGAGGCGATGTTTCGAAATGGGCGCGAGCTAGAAAACGAGGTGCTAACGTCTGACATCATTTTATCTCTGTTTACTTATAACTCAAGGTGTTGTTAGTATATCTATATCTCTCTTTATTATGAAAAACCAACGTGAATCTCACTCTTTAGGTTGGGAAAGGCTTATCTAAAGATGAAAAGACTCAAAAATTAGCTCTTTAGCATTGGCTTGAAGTTGTAAGTCCCCATATCTTTTTGTAACTTTTTATCAAAGACAAGCTAAGTACATGTGAAGAAACAAATCTCCCTAATTCCGACCCACATGGGTGGTTCGGAGAGCAAGATAGTTAAGACACTCACAGCAAGGGAAGTTATCTTGGGAGGGTTGATTCTCGTTCTACTCTCAATTAGTCTATCGGGTTACAATTTGGATATTTTCATGAATTTCACAAACCATTGAACATTTTATTGCCCAGCCTATTTTTTTTTCCTAAGCCAATAAAACCAATATATATCTGATTTATATATTTGAAAAGCAAATGTACGATTTGTTAGAATGTAAAAAATGTAAGGACCATTTTGAAGAGATGATGAGAGATAGGCATAGTGACGAATTATGAAAGAAATGCAAAGTATTAAGGTCCAATAAAACAAGGGTGTGATTTTTGAGTGTTAAAACTTAGAACAAATATTTCTCCCAAGAGTAGTTAATGTAAACAAGAGCATGGACACAATAACCAGACAAAAATGAATTGAACATTAAAGTAAATATAAAATACAATGGGAAAACAACATGATCATAAAATAAAGAATAATTAAGAGCCCATGATATAGTACTTATGTAAGATTAGGAGGTGGAAGATTACAGCACTGATATCTTAAGTTTTTTTATTAAATTTAAACTAAGAACTTACATAATAAGCTTCACATTCTCGATATGGTTTATAAAGGTGTAAACTTGTTGACCTTCAAGAGGTCCAGTCCCTTGGATTTCAACTCTTGTGATAGAGTTCCTCTCTATATTTAAGTGAAAGATATGTAGAATAGGAAAACATATTCTTGGGTTGTTAGAGAGGAGCCACCCATCTCAAAAGAAGTATCAACTCTTGAGTTTAAGGAAGCAAACATATTGCTTTCAAAAACATTCCCTACAATTTTATTTGCCAATGAACCTTGTTGGGTAGGAATAAATAGGGTATCCACGGCTGAAGGAGTATCAACCATAGATAAATAGGGTATCCACAAATGTCAAAACTTTCACCTTCAAAACTGAAGCACTTAATGTAACACCGGGTTTTTATGAATAAATTTTACATCCATTCAAAAAAAAAAAAAAAACCATAGAAAAAGCCTCAGTTGGTGAAGCCTTTAAAGAGGCTAAAATAGTGGGAGTAAAAAGTTGGCGTTTATTGACGCAGTAGAGAGAGAGAGAAGCCAAGTATAGCTAGTGGCAGTTGGCGTTGCTGGTTCCTCCTCGAATAGAGGAGTAGAGCGTGTTAGAGCATAACACAATCGATCTCAACGTTTTGAACAAAGTGAGTTGAGTTGGCTGGAGCAAATTTGGTAATATATATTTAGATTATCTTACGGTTAAAATACCAAAGTAAACAATAAATTAATAAGAAAATGATATTGTATCTTTTTATGTTTTGCAAAATGTGTCTCTCCATTTTTTTTTTTTTTTTGAATATCAAGACTGTCATATTAAATATGGCAGTTTCATAATTTTTAGTTGGTTGTTCTGTTACCATTCAAATTCAAACTTGCAAGATATGTTACCTTTTAAATCCAAGTGGGAGAAAGAGAAGTTTTTTTTTGGTCAAAGAGAAAGAGAAGGTTGGGGGGCATACTCGTTACGTTGGTCCGTGATAACGTGTTTAACAAGTCCATTATGGTCTCTATCGTCAACGAATGAAAGCCTATTGCCTAGGGTTTTCTTGTGTTTTAGGAAATGTTCTTCCTCAAAATAGTTCTTCGCATAACAATTATATATATCAACTTAACTGAGAATAGCGATTAGTGCAAGTTTCAAATCCAAGAATGATGTCAATATACAATCCAAAATTTGTCACGTGTAGGGTTTAGGTAAGCGAGCGGAATTAAGCGTTAATTATAACCCAAGATCGTTGCATTGATTAATATAAAAGAATAGGCTTAAAACTCATGTATGTACAAGTTACATATGGATTTCCTAAGATTAATGAAAAAATCTTACAAAATTTAGTCGCCGCCTAAACACAATTGCCTTCAAAGAAAATACTTGAAGAGGTAGATTAAAGCTTCTGAGTCAAAGAAGCCGGATACAAAATCATCGTCACTCTCTTCCTTCACGTCCTCCTAAAGATGATTCATCACAAGATGAACAAATTAAACAAATAAATTAGAAATGATGAATATCAGCAGTAACTACAATTATGAATTTATTATGAGTAAAGTATATTAATTTAGTAAAAGGGTTTAAAAAGAGAAGAATACAATACCTTGTTTTTCTCTTCAGCTACTGGGGCAGCTTGAGTGGCACTTCCAAATGAAGACGATGAAGAAGAAACAGCCCTGGGAGAACCAGCAGATCCACCGGCACTAGCATTCATGATGAGATCATCCATATTTTTGTTCTGGAAAAGCTTGGCCAAGAGACTAGGCCAGTATGATTCAATGTCTAAATTGGCTGTTTTCACCAGTGTTGAGATCTTCTCAGCCTATTTTACAAGTAACCAAATTAGTTTCAATACATGTTAAGACAAACAAGCTACAAGTACTTAAGGCTCAAATAGAGCTGAGTCCAAAAATCGAGGTCAAGATTGAGACTAGTAAAAGAAGCGATTAAACCCTAAACAAATACTAGGCATTGAGTACAATATACAAGCTACACACACATAGATTGTACTAGAAATGACGAATGTGGAACTAAGAAATTGAACGGTTCCTACAGAAAAGGTAAAGCGGAAGATAAAAAGGAATTACGGTGACATCGATTCCATCGTTGTGGAGGACTAGAGCGGCGTAAGTGCAGGCTAGCTCACTGGTGGCCATTGTTGCTAGCTCGCGTCTCACGAAAGATCTATAAAAATAAACAATAGAGCTCATCGATTCATAGTCAGATATAATGAAACATAAAAACAAAACATGAAGAGACTACAGAGAGAGGATTAAAGACTTTGAGTAATTTTCGAGCTGTTTTTTTTTTAAACTTTAAAATAGGAAATAAGACAAAATAAATATACGATACTGACAAAAGGGATAATCGGTTTAAGGTGTTGTGTAGGTCTCCAATCTCCATACAAATCCAACCATTATATCTCCTGAGCCACCGAAACTTTTTTTGTCCATCCTCTTATTCTTTCCTTATCAAAGTGTGCTCTTAAAGATAACAGAAACACTCATGCTAAAAGATGTTTGTTTAAATGCAAATAATATATTAGATTATTACCGCGAAAAAACCGTTATTTTTTCGATATTCAAAACAAACAAAAAACCTGTTATTTTTGCGCTTAAATTTTTTTAAATAATTCTTTCTATATAATTTTTGATTAAAATACCAAACTTTTATAAGAGAAATTTTCGTCTTTTTCTTTTGTCAACGGGAAATTATCAATGTAAAGTTATTTAAATCCAAATCTATGATAAAAAGGTTCATCCACATTGAAGTTAGAATCAATCTTAAATTCCGACCATCTTAAAGAAGGATCCTACCAACTACCTCCTCTTAGTAGAGGAGGCAAATTAAGACAAACGGATTGAAGCCCAAAAATATATGCTTCAAGCAAGCCCGTGCAAGGAATGACACATGGGAGGTTCGAAGAGCAAGATAGTTAAGCCACTCACAGAAAGGGAGGTTATTATACAGTAGAATATCTTGGCAGAGTTGATTCTTGTTCTAATCTCGATTGGTCTATTGGGTTACAATTCAGATATTTTCATGAACTTCACAATTACCTTTGAACATTTTATTGCCCAGCCTATTTTTGTCCTTAAGCCAAGAAAACCTTGGCAAGCCCAGATGGCCATTTTGAAGAGATATAGGCAAAGTGACGAAGTACGAAAGGAATGCAAAGTATAAAGGTCCAATATAAAACAAGGGTATGATTCTCGAGTGTTTAAAGTTAACATATAAAACTTAGAAAAAATATTTTTCCCAAAATGTGGTTAATGTAAACAAGAGCATGGACACCATAACCAGACAAAGATGAAGTAAATATAAAATAGTCATATATAATAACTGAACAATAGGAAAACTACATGATCATAAAAATAAGGACTAACTAAGAGCCCATGATATAGTACTTATGAAAGATTAGGAGGAAAATTACAGCAATTAAGAACTTACATAATAAGCTTCACATTCTCGATATGGTTTACAGAGGTGTAAACTTGTTGACCTTCAAAAGGTCCAGTCCCTTTGATTTCAACTCTTGTGATAGAGTTGCTCTCCATATTTAAGTTAAAGATGTAGAAAGGGTTAGACTTCACGACGGGAGAAAACACAATTTCATTTGTACCGATCGTCCCAACAACGTAAACACTAGTCTCCCCAACTACGTCTTTCCACATAGGCGGCAATATGTGAACATACCTTAACCATTTCTGATTTACAACATCATTAAGAAGCCACAACTCAAAGACTGCATCTCCACCATCCATAAAGTCAAATGATTCATGACGAATTCCTCCTAAGTTGCCGTTGTAATTTATTAAAGTTGACAACTGAGCTTGGATCGGTATAAACTTGAATTTCTCATCCTTCATATCAAAGGAAACTATCCTACATTCTCTAGACTCACTATTCTTAGCAATATAAAACAGTACTCCATTGATGCAAACTGACCCATGATAATAAGGGTAATGGGCTTCAGGACATTCAAGCATTCTCCATTTCAATTTGCCTGTTCCTAGTGTAAGAACTTGATGCTCTTCAGCTTTGAACTTAAATGGCCTTTGACAAATTGTCATGCACAATACCTTATACTCTTTTTCGATTGGATCATACCCCATATAGGTTACAACCTTACCCCTTCTCGATCTCACTTTGGGTAAAGATTTGGATTCTCCAGTGCTAGGGTTACATATCATCATCCTTGCATCCCTCTTTCTACTTAAAACCCACTCATCTTTAGTACACAACAATCCACATACAGGTTCACAAACTCCAAACGAGTAATCTTTAGGGACATCCATATGATTATCAACAACTACAAGATTTGAGTTCTGGTCTGAAATCAGATACTGGGGTGATGAGAAGAAAGACCACTTACCCTCAGCTTGAAAAGTGATTAGGAGACGTGGCCGAGCAGGAGACCTCCTCAGGTACAAGTTGGTGAAATATGGACTGCGGAGAAGAGAATTCCACTTCTTTGACACGCAACGAAACCTCGCCACCGATTTCGCTGGCAATCTGGAGAGTATATCGACCACGAGGTCAATTAGCAACGTACCCGAGTTCTCTCCATATTCACCCACTGAAGAAGATATGGTTAGGGCAACATCTTCCTTGGAGACGTGCTTCTTTCGTTTTTTTATGGCCGACATTGCACACGAAAAAGAAATGAAACCCTTAGATTTCTGAGTACCGATTGACAAACACAACAGTGACCTTATAAATGAAACCCTTACAGGTCCACTAGACAGACATGACTGCCACCTTTCGGTTTATGTTCTACCTACCACAATTTTTATCTTTACTCTTTTTTTGTAACCTTATCTTTTTGTCTTTAATTTCCTTTTTGTAGCACCCTGTTTAGATATTATTACATATTTAGATTATTTATCTATAATTAGGCATTACTTTTTTAAGTGTATATATATATATATATATACACATACACTATACTACCCAAATTAAGTGATTATCTTGCAAAGATATCAAATTTTTACATTTAACAAAATTGAATAGATTTTGATTTTATTATAGAAAATTTGGCATATATATTTAGACTATTTCCCACAAAAAGACAATCATCTTATGGTAAAAATACCAAAAATAACAATAAATTAATAAGAAAATGATATTGTATATTTTTTTCTGTTTTACAAAGGGTGTCTTTCCATTTTTTTAATATCAGGACTATGATTTTTAATATGACAGTCTCATAAACAATAACATATTTCAATAGAATTTTAGTTATGACGGAAATACAAATACAATTGATAAATTAGGTATTCGCATAAAAAAAAAGTATAAAAAAATTATGTGACTGTATTATAGGTGTAAAATAGTTGAAAACGTGTTCATAACATTTAAAATTCACTAGTGTGTATCTTGTTGTGATGTTACCATTCAAATTCAAACTTTCAAGATATGATACCTTTTTAAATCCAAGCGTGATAAAAAGAAGTTTTTTTTTTGGTCAAAGAGAAAGAGAAGGTTGGGGGGCATACTCGTTACGTTGGTCCGTGATAACGTGTTTAACAAGTTCATTATGGTCTCTACATTGTCAACGAATGAATGCCTATTGCTTAGGGTTTACTTGTATTTTAGGAAACGTTCTTCCTTAAAATAGTTCTTCGCATATCAATTATATCAGTATTCAGTACTTAACTGAGAATAGCCATTAGTGTAAAATTTCAAATTAAAGAAAGATGTCGTTATAACTAGATATAATCCATAATTAGTCACGTGTAGGATTTAGGTAAGCGAGCGGAATTAGCCGAGAGAACGTTATAACCCAACATTGTTACATTGATTAATATAAAAGAATAGGCTCAAAACTCATGATAAAACATGTACCAAGTAAAATTACTAGACCTTCCTAAGAACAAAAAAATCTCACAAAATTGAGTCGCCTAAACACAGATTGCCTTCAAAGAAAATACTTGAAGAGATAGATTAAAGCTTCTTAGTCAAAAAAGAAGGATACAAAATCATCGTCACTCTCTTCCTTCTCGTCCTCCTAAAGATGATTCATCACAAGATGAACAAATTAAACAAATAAAGTAGAAATGTTGAATATCAGAAGTAATATATTACAATTATGTATTTATTATGAGTAAAGTATATCAATTAAGTAAAAGGGTTCAAGGAGAGAAGAATATAGTACCTTCTTTATCTCTTCAGCTACTGGGGCAGCTTGAGTGGCACTTCCAGATGAAGATGCAGAAGAAGAAACGGCCACGGGAGCAGCAGCAGATCCACCGGCACCAGCGTTCATGATGAGATAATCCATGTTTTTGTTCTGGCAAAGCTTGGCAAAGAGACTAGGCCAGTATGATTCAATGTTTAAATTGGCTATTTTCACACCAGTGTTGAGATCTTCTCAGCCTAGTTTACAAGTAACCAAATTAGTTTGAGTACATGTCAAAACAAACAAGCTACAAGTTAAGTCTCAAGTAGGTTGAGTTCAAAATCGATGTCAAGATTGAGCATAGTAAAAGGAGCGATTAACAAGTACACACAGATTGTACTAGAAATGGCGAACGTGGAACTAAGAAATTGAACGGTCGCTACAGAGAAGGCAAGAAGCGGAGTGTAAGTGCACTCTATACCAGGAGCTCAGATAAGTGCACAAGTTGCCGGAACAGGATTGAAGCTGTTCTTGGATACAGGAGTAATGACCAAGTAATTGTTGCTGACGTGGAATAGGCGCCAAATGAATGAATGACGTGGTGATCACAACAGAATAAGTTCAGTTTGGCAAGAAGATATTCGATGGAGATTTGGAAAGATCCAAGATCGAGAAGACTAAACCTAGAAGATTTGAAGACCTCGTGAATATAAAAGGGGTGCTAAGGCTCTTGCTAGGGTTAGCCGTTTTGTGAAGCAAAAAGGTAGTGCAAGCTTTTTTGTTCTGTTAGAGAGTAAGCGTTACTCTGTTTGAGTTACAAGAGAGATTAGAGAGTGTGTTCTTGTAATTCTCTTGTGAGTCTTAGAAATCTCAGGTGACAAGCTAAAAGTAGTTTTAGGTCTTGTGTAAAACCAGTTAAGAGAGTTGTAACTTCTTAACCAGATTTCTAATAAAGTAATACTCAGTGTTTCTGAGTTTGGGGAATACGGTTCTGAGTTCATCCAAATTTCACTTGGTATCAGAGCAGGCATCTGAACTAAGTTGTACTTGACAATAGGTGAAGATCCTGCGGAAAGGATGGACTACCCCAAGGAGTTTATCGCTATCGGTAAGTCAATCATGCTGGAAAAAGGAAACTACGGTCACTGGAAGGTGAAGATGAGAGCACTCATCCGTGGACTTGGAAAGGAAGCTTGGATTGCTACTAGCGTTGGATGGAAGCCTCCAGTCACTAAAGGTGAAGGGAAAGGATGTGACTAAGTCAGAAGATCAGTGGACTGACGCAGAAGAAAAAATAGCTACAGCAAACTCAAAAGCTTTGTCTTTGATTTTCAACTCTGTGAACCAGAATCAGTTTAAACGAATCCAAAACTGTGAATCTGCTAAGGATGCTTGGGATAAACTTGCTAAAGCATATGAAGGAACAAGCAGTGTAAAGCGATCTCGGATAGATATGTTGGCATCACAGTTTGAAAATCTGACCATGGATGAGACGGAGACCATTGAGGAGTTTAGCGGCAAGATCAGTGCTATAGCTAGTGAAGCACACAACCTTGGTAAGCAGTATAAGGACAAGAAACTGGTTAAAAAACTGCTGAGTTATCAAAGGTTAGAGTTATTAGTTTTTTATTTGTAAAAAGTCTTCTAAAATCTTCAATCAAAATTTTATCAAAGGTTAGAGTTATTAGTTTTTTATTTGTAAAAAGTCTTCTAAAATCTTCATAAATCTGGGTTATTAGATTCAGAATTTTGAAAAGTTAATAAAAATTAAAAAAAAATCTATGATTGTTAATAAATTAAATTATTATGTTAATATTTTATGATTTTATACATTTTTATTCACAATATAAAATCAGGAAAAGTATCATCAAAATACAATCTCACTATTCATATATAATACAATATTGCCAATGGCCCAATAATAATGACAAATCTTGTAAAGCCAAACTAAATACGTACTTGTTTAAAGCAAAACATATAAATTAATTAACAAATATTATGTAGTAATACATGATCTAATATAGAAATAATACTTTATGGCTAGATCTTAGATTCAGGTACCATTTCTCTTTGTAGGTTTTTTTTTCTTTTGTCATATTTTATCAAAATAATGGAGCGTTTAGTTACAGTTTGCCAAAATTCGCTATTCAATTGAGCCGTTTGAACCCATTACCGCAAGAGGATGATGATCAACCAATTAATACATATCAACCATTTCACGAAGGTGAGGCATTGAAGAATAACACGTACGTATGTACTGGGATGTTTATGCCCTAGTTTACAAACTTTGATGGAACTGGTAGTTGGTTTAGGTGGAGCAGTCCAGAAAGTAAAAGCGTGTTTAGGCACTGGAACCATTCGGTATGAGTAAAAAATTTAATGTTTATGGATTAAGAGTTCAAATTTTATTTATATGTAGAATTTTGACATTTTTGATTATTAAACATGTTACTTTACCAGTTTGTTGTTAACTTATTCTGTTCCAAGTCAAGGTTTAGTTATGTTCTAGTGATTTTGTTATTACAGACCACCTCTATTGATCGGTTCTTACATAGAATTCTAAACAATTTTGATATACAAAATAATAATTAAAATATTAGAGGGGTTCTCAAAAGAGGAAATAAGGTATCTAAGTTTCTCATTTGAGAATTGGGAAAAAGGCGTCTCTTGAGGATTCCTTGCATGTTGTCATTTGATGACTCATTGGCTACCGTAAAGAAGGAAAATAAATGTTGTAAGTACCCAACTTCTTCATGAAGAGACAAAGCGGCTGTGCACATAAAGAGGAGTATTAGACTTTGAAGTTTAAACAACTTCAAAGTATTGGTAGGTACATTTTCAACAAAACATAAAATAATCATCCAATACCTTACAATCAGGTTGACAGAAGAGGAAAACTGAACAATTGCTAACTAACTACATGAAGAGATTGTATTTGTAAAGTCCTATTATATATGAAGTCCTAAAACACTTAGATGTGCTTCACATTCTCTACATGGTCTATAAAGGTGAAAATTTCTGAACCCTTACGAGATCCAAGCCTTTGGATTTCAACTTTTATGATTGTGTTCCTCTCCACATTGTACCTCAAAACGTAGAAAGGATCAGATGGAAAATATGAAGAGAACACAATTTCACCACTGTGAGTCATCCCAACAACGCATAAAAAATACTCTTGTGCAACTAAATTCTTCCAAATAGGCGGGAATATGTAGATATGCCTCGACCATTTTCCTTCTTCGGGATCCTCTAATACCCGCAGCTCAATACTTTCCGTTCTTCCGGAATCAATACTTTCAGCTATTCCGGAATATAGATTCGAATAAAGCACACCTAATTTACCCTTGTAATTTATCGGAGTCCTATTCCACTTATTCTCATTAACTAGTGGTGGAATAATAAACTCGAACTTCTCAGACCTCAAATAAAAACAATCTATGGATACCAAGATTCGTGCCTCAGCTTGAAAATACAAAACTCCACTTATGCAAATCGCACAACATGTAGGTAAAACATTATCACGTCGTACCCTATAACATTCAATTTTTCTCCATGACAGTTTACCCGTACCTAATGTCAGAACCTTGGCTTTTTGAATACGGGACTTTTCACAAACTAGTAAGCACAATACCTTGTACTGTTTCCCGACTGGATCATACCCAAAAAAGATTCTCATTTTAGACTTCATCCATGTCGGGTTGGGTAAGGTTTTGTACTCTCCTGTACTAGGGTTACATATCATCAAACCCCTATCTCTATTACATATCAATCCACAGACAGGTGGACAAATCTCATGGGAACAATCTCTGGTCTGGAAACACATGTGATAATCGGTTGTTAAGTTCTGGTCGGTATTTAGAGCCTGAGGTGTCGAGAAGAATACCCACTTACCGTTGAGATGGAAGGTGAACAAGATACGAGGACTAGTCGAGTAGTTGGTGAGGTCACGGCTGAGAACTGAAGCCCACTGCTTCGACACGCAACGACACCTTGCTAGGTCTTCCAGTGGCAATCTCGAGACTATCTTAATCAAGAGATCATTTGGGATCTCTGAGAAGAAAGATGGTGTATTACAATTTTGTCGGGAGATTGTTAAACCCATTGAGATATACACCACAACGAATCTTGCTCTAATACTTCATGGAGACCGAATTTTTCTTTTTTTATTATGTAGGCAAGAAATGTTTTCTCTGTGTTATTTCACATAACGATCGACTGATATTTATACAATGAATTAACCTTAATTGAAACCCTAATTGATATATTAACAAAAGACTAAGAGAGTGTTATTGGGTTGTGATTTAATAGTGTTTTAATGACTTTAAAGAATCTGTTGTTGTTCACTCAAATTTTATTAAACTTTGTTAAAGTTTGATGTTATTAGTTTTTAATTTGTAAAAAGTTTTCTAAAATCTTCATAAATCTAGAGTTATTAGATTCATAATTTTATAAAGTCAATAAAAGTTATGTTATCCAACTAAAACAAAAGAATCTCTGATTGTTAATGAATTGAATTATTATGTTATTGGTTTATGATTTTATACATTTTTCACAAAATAATCAAAATCATGAAAAGTATCATCAAAATACAATCTCTCTATTCATATATAATACAATATGGCTAGTGGCCCATGGCCCAATAATAATGACAAATCTTGTAAAGTAAATCAAACTAAACACTTTTTTAAAGAAAAACATATACAAATTAATTAATAAATATTATGTAGTAATACATGATCTAAAAGATATAAAACTTCATGGGCTAGATCTTAGATTCAGGTACCATTTATCTTTGTAGTTTTTTTTGCTTTTGTTTCGATAAAATATGAACTTTATCAAAATAATGGAGCGTTTAGTTACAGTTTGCCAAAAGGGTGCGGAGTTATATGTGGTATTTTGACATTTTTGATTATTAAACATGTTATTTTACCAATTTGATTGTTAACTAATTCTGTTCCAAGTCAATGTACTTATCTTTTCTTTCTTCTTGAATTCCAGATATGAGATTAACTCACGTGTCTTTCAAATTTCAGTTTCCTTTTTTTTTGTCTCACAAGGTTTAGTCTGTTCTAGTGATTTTGTTATCACAGACCACCTCTATCGAGGGGTTTATTACATAGGATTCTAAACAATTTTGGTCTACAAAATAATAATTTAAATATTATATGGGTTCTCAAAAGAAGAAAGAGTGTATCTAAATTTTTCATTTTAGGAGAGAGGGGTTTCACAAAGATATAGAGTGGGTTTCTCATGAAAAAAAAGTGTTTAAAATAGCTAAAACATATATAGCTTACAACAATCACTGGTTCTCATGGTCACAGTTTCCACAATGAGATAAATTCAACAAAATACACACATATAATAGTCATACAATTGTAACCGAACAACTGTTACCTATACGAAATAGGTGCACGCTAAGGACTTTTTGAGAGATTCCAAACTTTAGAAGGCAAAAACCGTTCATTATAAAGTCCTATGAACTCCCGAGTACTTCCATAAGCTTCACATCTTCTACATGGTCAATAAAGGTGTAAATCTTCGGACGATCAGGAACAACAATCCCTAATTGGATTTCAACTCTTACAACAGTGTTACTCACCACATTGTAGTAGAAAATATATAAATTTTCCTCTCTATAGTATGGGGCGAAAACAATTTCACCTGTACCAATCATCCCTACAATGTATAGAAACTTATCCCCAACTAGATTCTTCCATGAAGACGGAAATTCATAGATATGCTTCGACCATTTCCCATTCTCGACATCATCTAAAACCCACATCTCAAGCCTTGTACTTCTTTCACTGAATAAAAACAACTCATCAGGGAGAATTGCGCCCAATTTACCATTGAAGTTTACAAGAGTTGACATCCAAATCATACTGTTCACATCAAGAAATTTGAACTTCTCAAATCTAACATCAAAGCAAACTAGCTTAATAGGTGTATGAAGTCTAGTGCCATTGCACGCAGCTAAATAGTACACAACCCCATTGATGCAAATCCCATCAGATGCAGAGCAATGGGATATCGAACATTCTATCGTTCTCCATGATAGTTCTCCCGTTCCTAATGACAAAACTCGAGAATAATCCTTGGACATGTGCAATACCTTGAATAGTTTGCCGATAAGGTCATATCCGAAATAGATATCGACCACCCTAGACTCCGCCCATGTCGCCTTGGGTAAAGTTATGTACTGTCCTGTGCTAGGGTTACAGATAAATGGATTCCTTTCTAAAGTACATAGCAATCCGCAGACAGGACGTAACATCCCAGAAGAACCATTTTCGGTTGAGAAACTCATGTGACGATCGGCAGCTAAAAGAATACACGAGTTCTGGTGCTGAGGTGCGGAGAAGAAGAGCCACTTACCGTTGAGATTGAAGGTGAACAAGAGACAGGGACGAGTCGATGATACTTTCAGGAACAAGTCGGTGAAATCTGGACGGCGGAGAATGGAAGCCCATTGCTTCGAAACGCAACGACACCGCGCAATGGATTTCACCGGCAATCTTGAGAGTATTGAGATAAAGAGATCAATTGGTATTGAATTTCGGGAGATGGTTAGGGGATCCTTCTCGGAGACTAGTTTCTGCCGTTTTTCCATGGCGGCACTAAACCCTAGATTCCCAAAATTTACACTAGGACAAGAGCCTCGGCAACAATATTTGCCCTAATTTATTTATGTTTTCAAAAGAGACAACGAGGGATAAATAAGACAAAATAAAGTTACTTTTTTTTTTGGTAGGCCACAAAATAAAGTTACTTTGTAAAAGAGATAGTCAGTCTAAGATATTGTCCAAGTGTAATTATCTCCACTCAAATTCGTACGGGTTATATCTTCTGAGTCACCGATTCTATTTTGTTTTTTTGGCAGCATTTCCTTTACTAAAAAGGTGTGTTCATAAATACGATGGAAACACTTCATCCCATTGTGGTTTTATGTTTTTGAACAGAAATACTAAAATAGTTCATGTATCATGTATGATGTAACACTATTATGATATAAAATAGTTGATTTGCCGTTAAAAAAAAAAAAAAAAAAAAAAAAAAGTTATTTTGTTGATATTCAAAACAAACAAACAAAAACCGTTATTTTTGCACTTTAAGAAAAATGATATAAGAAAAATTATCGTCTTTTTCTTTTGTCAACGGAACATTAGCAATGTAAAGTTATTTAAGTCCAAGTCTGTCAAAAAGGGCTCATCCACGTTGATGTCGGAATCATCTTTAGGACCATCGTTAAGAAGGTTCCTACCAACTACCTCCTAGTAGTAGAGGAGGCAAATACAAACGGATATATTTAAGCCCCAAAAAAAAAGAACATGCTTCAAGCGCATTGAGAGCCCGTGCAAAGAATGACTCGTGTGGTTGAGCTACACATGGGTGGTTCGGAGAGCAAGATAGTTAAGACACTCACAGCAAGGGAGGTTATCTTGGGAGGGTTGATTCTCGTTCTACTCTCAATTAGTCTATCGGGTTACAATTTGGATATTTTCATGAATTTCACAAACCATTGAACATTTTATTGCCCAGCCTATTTTTTTTTCCTAAGCCAATAAAACCAATATATATCTGATTTATATATTTGAAAAGCAAATGTACGATTTGTTAGAATGTAAAAAATGTAAGGACCATTTTGAAGAGATGATGAGAGATAGGCATAGTGACGAATTATGAAAGAAATGCAAAGTATTAAGGTCCAATAAAACAAGGGTGTGATTTTTGAGTGTTAAAACTTAGAACAAATATTTCTCCCAAGAGTAGTTAATGTAAACAAGAGCATGGACACAATAACCAGACAAAAATGAATTGAACATTAAAGTAAATATAAAATACAATGGGAAAACAACATGATCATAAAATAAAGAATAATTAAGAGCCCATGATATAGTACTTATGTAAGATTAGGAGGTGGAAGATTACAGCACTGATATCTTAAGTTTTTTTATTAAATTTAAACTAAGAACTTACATAATAAGCTTCACATTCTCGATATGGTTTATAAAGGTGTAAACTTGTTGACCTTCAAGAGGTCCAGTCCCTTGGATTTCAACTCTTGTGATAGAGTTCCTCTCTATATTTAAGTGAAAGATGTAGAAAGGGTTAGACTTCACGAATGGAGAAAACACAATTTCACTTGTACCGATCATCCCAACAACGTAAACTCTAGTCTCCCCAACTACCTGCTTCCACATAGGCGGCAATATGTGAATATGCCTTGTCCAATCCTCTTTTTCAATATCAAGATCCCACAACTCATAGCCTGCAACTCCACCTTCCATAAAGCCATGACGGATTCCTCCTAATTTCCCATTGTAATTTATCAAAGTTGACAACGGAGCTTTGTTCAGTATAAACTGGAACTTCTCATGCTTAACATGAAAGCAAACTATTATATCTTCTCTAGTCTCATCTTTCACAGCTAAGTAATACAACACCCCGTTGATGCAAATCTCCTTATGATGAGGGAAATGCTCGACAAAACATTTAAGCATTCTCCATTTCAATTTACCCGTTCCTAGTGTAAGAACTTGATGCTCTTCAGCTTTGAACATATATGGCCTTTCACAAATTGTCATGCACAATACCTTATACTCTTTTTCGATTGGATCATACCCGATGTAGGTTATAACCTTATTCCTTCTCGATCTCACTTTGGGTAAAGATTGGAATTGTCTTGTGCTAGGGTTACATATCATCATCCTTGCATCCTTCTTTCTACTTAAAACCCACTCATCTCTAGTACACAACAATCCACATACAGGTTCACAAACTCCAAACGAGTAATCTTTAGGGACATCCATATGATTATCAACAACTACAAGATTTGAGTTCTGGTCTGAAATCAGGTACTCGGGTGATGAGAAGAAAGACCACTTACCCTCAGCTTGAAAAGTGATTAGGAGACGTGGCCGAGTAGGAGACCTCGTAAGGTACAGGTTGGTGAAATATGAACTGCGGAGAAGAGAATTCCAATTCTTTGACACGCAATGAAACTTCGCGGCCGATTTCGCTGGCACTCTGGAGAGTATTTCAACCATGAGATCCATTGGCAACGTACCCGAGTTCTCTCCATATTCACCCAATGAAGAAGATATGGTTAGGGCAACATCTTCCTTGGAGACGTGCCTCTTCCGTTTTTTCATCATGGTGGACATTGCACACGAAAAAGAAAAGAAACCCTTAGAATTCTGAGTACCGATAGACAAACACAACAGCAACCTTATAAATGAAACCCTTAGAGTTCTGAGTATCGATAGACAAACACAACAACAACCTTATAAATGAAACCCTTTCTGGTCCACGACTGCCACCTTTCGGTTTATGTTCTACCTACCACATTTTTTTTTTATCTTTTGTCTTTTTTGTAACCTTATCTTTTTTTGTCTTTAATTTCCTTTTTGTAGCATCCTTATTAGATATCACTCCATATATAGATTATTTATCTATTAGGCAGTACTTTTTTTTTATGTATACACACTATATTACCCCAATCATACAATTGCTTTCGTGCTTTTTTGTATATTAAAAAAAAAAAATTTGAGCGACTTTATAAAAAATTGATTGTGATTATCTTGCAAAGATATCAAATTTAAATTTAATCAAATTGAATAAATTTTGAGTTCAATTTCTTAGAATTTTTTTTTTTTTTTACTTTGATAAAGGGCTTTTAAATTAAATGCATAAAAAATATTACAAGGATATGACTATGAGGTTATCATTTAGTTTTTGAAAGTAGATAAAAGAGAAGAACATACAACTACACTAGATAGATTCTAGTCTTCTAGATCAGAGAAAGAAAAAGCAATGGCTTAGGTAGATAAACCGCGACCACCACGACCACTTTGCCACGTCCTCCAACCGTAGTCCATTGATTCGATCTTGAACTTTTTGCGTAGGCTTGATTGGCCTTCATTCTTGGGTTGTTAGAGAGGAGCCACCCATCTCAAAAGAAGTATCAACTCTTGAGTTTAAGGAAGCAAACATATTGCTTTCAAAAACATTCCCTACAATTTTATTTGCCAATGAACCTTGTTGGGTAGGAATAAATAGGGTATCCACAGCTGAAGGAGTATCAACCATAGATAAATAGGGTATCCACAAATGTCAAAACTTTCACCTTCAAAACTGAAGCACTTGATGTAACACCGGATTTTTATGAATAAATTTTACATTCATTCAAAAAAAAAAAAAAAACCATAGAAAAAGCCTCAGTTGGTGAAGCCTTTAAAGAGGCTAAAATAGTGGGAGTAAAAAGTTGGCGTTTATTGACGCAGTAGAGAGAGAGAAGCCAAGTATAGCTAGTGGCAGTTGGCGTTGCTGGTTCCTCCTCGAATAGAGGAGTAGAGCGTGTTAGAGCATAACACAATCGATCTCAACGTTTTGAACAAAGTGAGTTGAGTTGGCTGGAGCAAATTTGGTAATATATATTTAGATTATCTTACGGTTAAAATACCAAAGTAAACAATAAATTAATAAGAAAATGATATTGTATCTTTTTATGTTTTGCAAAATGTGTCTCTCCATTTTTTTTTTTTTTGAATATCAAGACTGTCATATTAAATATGGCAGTTTCATAATTTTTAGTTGGTTGTTCTGTTACCATTCAAATTCAAACTTGCAAGATATGTTACCTTTTAAATCCAAGTGGGAGAAAGAGAAGTTTTTTTTTTGGTCAAAGAGAAAGAGAAGGTTGGGGGGCATACTCGTTACGTTGGTCCGTGATAACGTGTTTAACAAGTTCATTATGGTCTCTACATTGTCAACGAATGAATGCCTATTGCTTAGGGTTTACTTGTATTTTAGGAAACGTTCTTCCTTAAAATAGTTCTTCGCATATCAATTATATCAGTATTCAGTACTTAACTGAGAATAGCCATTAGTGTAAAATTTCAAATTAAAGAAAGATGTCGTTATAACTAGATATAATCCATAATTAGTCACGTGTAGGATTTAGGTAAGCGAGCGGAATTAGCCGAGAGAACGTTATAACCCAACATTGTTACATTGATTAATATAAAAGAATAGGCTCAAAACTCATGATAAAACATGTACCAAGTAAAATTACTAGACCTTCCTAAGAACAAAAAAATCTCACAAAATTGAGTCGCCTAAACACAGATTGCCTTCAAAGAAAATACTTGAAGAGATAGATTAAAGCTTCTTAGTCAAAAAAGAAGGATACAAAATCATCGTCACTCTCTTCCTTCTCGTCCTCCTAAAGATGATTCATCACAAGATGAACAAATTAAACAAATAAAGTAGAAATGTTGAATATCAGAAGTAATATATTACAATTATGTATTTATTATGAGTAAAGTATATCAATTAAGTAAAAGGGTTCAAGGAGAGAAGAATATAGTACCTTCTTTATCTCTTCAGCTACTGGGGCAGCTTGAGTGGCACTTCCAGATGAAGATGCAGAAGAAGAAACGGCCACGGGAGCAGCAGCAGATCCACCGGCACCAGCGTTCATGATGAGATAATCCATGTTTTTGTTCTGGCAAAGCTTGGCAAAGAGACTAGGCCAGTATGATTCAATGTTTAAATTGGCTATTTTCACACCAGTGTTGAGATCTTCTCAGCCTAGTTTACAAGTAACCAAATTAGTTTGAGTACATGTCAAAGCAAACAAGCTACAAGTTAAGTCTCAATTAGGTTGAGTTCAAAATCGATGTCAAGATTGAGCATAGTAAAAGGAGCGATTAACAAGTACACACACACAGATTGTACTAGAAATGGCGAACGTGGAACTAAGAAATTGAACGGTCGCTAGAGAAGGCAAGAAGCGGAGGATAAAAAGCACTTACGGTAACATCGATTCCATCGTCGTGGAGGATGAGAGCAGCGTAAGTGCAAGCGAGCTCACCGGTGGCCATTGTAGCTAGCTTGTGTCCCACGAAAGATCTACAAACACACCAACGTATTTATTATATTTCGAATTAGGCACGTGAATACCATGTGCGGCCCATAGAAAATTGGGAGTGGGATTCATGACCCATATACATAACCTAAATTATTTAGAAGTCGCTCTTGTTGTTATTGGGCCTTAAAAGCCCAATAAATGGCCCAAATAGACAACAAAGCAAAATCCGAGTCGTTTACCACACCGTTCCTTATCCATTTGGCTGACGCAAAATCGAATCGGAACCCTAAAATCTCTCGGAAGCCATGTCTCCTCCTCCTGCTGTAGTCACTGAATCCGCCGATGGACAACTTGAGCAACCACCAGCTGCTGCCATTGCTGAAGAGCTGGAGAAAAAGCTTCAGGTTAAGACGATTTTACATTTATTTGTTACGGTTTTTACTTCTTAGTCTCACGCTCGAGGATTTTTTTTCCCAGACTGATGAACCGATTGTAGAAGATGTTAAAGATGACGAAGACGATGATGATGATGACGACGAAGAGGAAGACGACGATGCTCAAGGTGGTTTGATTCTTCCCTCTTTTGTCGCCAATTTAAGAGTTTTGTTCGTCATCAATCATCACTTAAGTTTCCAGATAGTCTTCTTTAGAAATGTGATTTGAGTTCGTTCTCACATTCGTAGTTTCGGGTATTTGAAGAGTATCACATTTCAAGATTGACTGCATAGTTACGTAGAAATGGTGGATTTAATATGTTTTTGTTAACATATAGAGGTGTGGGAGATGATAGATTAATGGATGTACTTGACCATGTTTCGGAGAATAGAGATCCTGATATGTGTATAGCATAGTGAATCGTTCTTGAAATTGAATTAAGTTTTGTTGTTTGTAGGTGTTAGTGGAAGTTCAAAGCAGAGTAGAAGTGAAAAGAAGAGTAGGAAGGCGATGTTGAAGCTCGGTATGAAACCAGTCACTGGTGTTAGCAGAGTAACCATCAAGAGAACGAAAAACGTAAACCAATTTCTCTGTTTTCTCACTAAGTTTAGATGTGTTTCTGCGTTTATGATTCTGATGAGACACTACATTAATGTTGCCAGGTACTCTTCTTCATCTCTAAACCGGATGTCTTCAAAAGCCCGCATTCAGAAACCTATGTTATATTCGGTGAGGCCAAGATCGAGGATTTGAGCTCTCAGCTTCAAACACAAGCTGCTCAACAGTTTAGGATGCCTGAAATCGGAGCCACATCTCAGAGAGCAGAGGCATCGGCAGCCACTGTAGAAGCACAGGTTGAAGAAGATGAAGAGGACATTGATGAGACCGGTGTGGAGGCTCGTGACATTGACTTGGTCATGACTCAGGCTGGAGTTTCGCGCAGCAAAGCGGTTAATGCACTCAAGAGTCACGATGGAGACATTGTAAGTGCAATAATGGAACTCACTACTTAAGAGGAAATGTGTCTCTCTGCCTCATTCACTTGCAGATTGTTTTCAAATACTTTTGGAGTTGTCAGAAAATCGGATTATTGTTGTCCTTTCGGGTATCTAATCTAGTCTGTTTGTCATGATGCTTATGCAGTATCTGACTTTAAATGTGTTTTTCACGACATGTTTGAGAAACTTCCAAATTTTAGGATTTTGAAACATCATCTACTAACAAATAGACAGACATACTAACGTCTAAATAACATTCGAGCAGAGGACAGAAGCACAGACGTTGGAACTCTATGCATAGATTCTAACTCCTCAACCACCATCTTCTGTTTCTCTTCACTGCATGTTGAATTCGGCGAGATTCCCACTGTTTTTAAACACTTGGAGTTTTCTAGAATGTATCTTATGAGTTCTTTCTCATATTTTCTTCCTGCATATCCTTCCCACTCAAAGATCTCGAGATGAGACGACAAACATCCTGGAACAGAACTCGGTTGATTCCATAAACCTGGACCATGATTCGCATACTGACCAATCTCAGAGTCGACCATAAAAACTTTTAAGATTAGAACAATTAGAGAGCAAAACCAAAAGTGATTCACACAAGTCTTGGTCAGATAGAAATATCATACATTCTACAAGTCGAGAGTAGTTATTTACTGCGTCACACCATGGAACCATTATATCGAACGGAGATAACGCAAGATACTTGACCGAAGAGAGAGACCTCATAAAGTTTTCAATAGGGAAGAGCAGATCAATAACTACTGTAACAAGATGGGGCATGTACTCAACTGAGAAAGAGTGTCCAAAAATATCAAAGATGTGAAGAGACAATAAATTTGGAGTGTCTATAACCAAAAATCTATCATCACTGTCTTGAAATGTCGTATCTACTTTGTAATCTAATCTCAATAAAGAAGGCACTTTAACACTAAACGTTCTCACAATATCTTCCACATGTCTATTTCGAGTCACCTTTAGACGCTTGAGAACGGGACAACTTGATAAAAGCCTAACATGAGAATCTTCGTCTTTGTACACAACACAGAAGAGATCAAGTTCTGTGAGTGATGGGAGAGAGACTTGTCGAGGAACATCCACAAGAACCTTGTAGGAGAGAGTCAATCTCTCAAGCGTTTTGCAAAAGTAAAGGCTCTTAGGCATTCTGATCGGCTCTCCTTTCCAAAGGAGCCTGAAAATTAGCCAACGCACACGATTATCAAGTGCTTTTGCAACCCACTTTACAGGATTAACATAAATAGGACATTGTGGACCGAGTTCGATACACAAACGTTCTAACAAAGGTGCCTTGTGAAGACGGAATGAATCTTCAAGAAACCACCAAACAGTACTACTGCTGTTAACGTCACTTGTTTTGGTTTCTCTATATTCAAGTCTAGGTAACATCCTCCAGACAAACCTCCATCGTTTAGACAAAAACGTGGTGGCCACTGCATCTTTTGTAGGAACGAGCAATAATATCTGCACGAGAAGATCGTCAGACAAAGAACTGATTCTATCTTCACAAACTCTATGTTCGACGAGTTCTGTCATAATTAACAACTTAACCCTAGACCTTAGTCACTTCTCCTCTAGCTGTGAGAATGACTTATTGATACAGATAAACTACAGTTTCTCCATTGATAACAAATCAAACGATAAAATTGAATCAATGTTCATAAAACACCGATCCAAATCTCATGTGCTAAAGCTTAGAATGAAGAAACAGCTTAAGCAAACAATGAGTTCAAGAATTCCATAGAATTCAGAGAACAAACCAAGAATCGGAGAAGAAGAAGATTACAATTTGACACAAATTTCATGAATGATCCCCAAATCTGTTTTTGCTTCCTTTTAACGCATCTTTCTTCATAATCTTGAGCTCCAATGATCTCAGCCGTTGATCCAAACTTCTAATCTACACCTTACACGTGTCCATTACTCCTTTCTCTTTTCCTATATCAAATCCTCCTTCTCCAAACAACCATGCCCACATGGTTGAAAAGAAAGATATTGCTGCAACACATCATATAAAATTTCCCCAGTAGTCTCAGCTTTATCCATATTTGATCACTTAACCAGAACTGGAACTTCATTGTAACTTCAGTTTTCATGAACCAAGTAGTCTCATCTTTCCATATTTGACCATCTAACCATATCCACAACTTCAGCCTAAAAGAGAAATTCATGAATATTGAACCTCCAGGATCCCAAACTCGGTTATTAATGTCCCAGCTCTTAATCTCTGACCCATAAGCACCAATAGTCTGACCCGAAGTACATCTCCGAAGCATCTCAACAAATTCTTTATCAACTTCAGCCTTCCCCATAAACAGCCATTTCTTCTGTCTTTTCTTATACGTAAACAACTTCACGTTGCATATAAACTTGTTTTTGTAGTGAAATTTCCAGAACTTACCACACTTCAACTTCTTCTTAGAACTAGCATCCTCCCACAAGAACTTGATGTATCTCAATGTGCTGTCCTTTGAGATTTTAAATTTGAACTTCCATGATTTAGGATACTTGCTAGGCTTCTTCTGTTGATGTAATGTGTGGTTCCTTAGGAGTTTTCCATCGACTTCTTGGCATGCATAAGAATCGCTACCTTCATCAATTGCAGTATGAAAACTTTGAATGTCCTTTGATTCAGCATTTAAGATCTTTGGCATCTCTTGAAAATTTCCAACAACTACTAGACTTGCAAAGTTCTGGACACAAAAACTATCACTTCCACCACCAGATTGTAAATCATCAACCACAAATCCAATTGGTGACATCAATTGGTTCATTGTTGCATTAGCTTTATCAAAGTCCTCAAAGGTTGAATTAACTTTTTGAGGTTGTGAGGCACATTCTAAGCAGCCTTTTACTTCCCCTTTGTTTCTTGTATCCATCTTGCTTTTCTCTTGATTCACCGATTCTGTCTTCAAATTCCCATAAGGAGCACACCAACGAGCACTTTCTAAGATAAAATCTCTGTCACATTTCCACTCTTCTTGCTGTAAGAAGTTCTCCATTCCCGCAGAAATCTCTTGCTGAATTGAGTGTTTCCCCTCAAAGCATTCCCTACCCTTACGTAAGGCATTAGGCCCGTGAATGTTAATCAAAGGTCCTGCATCTTCACTTGAAAAATTTAAAGGCTGAGCTCCTTTCAGATAATCATCATTCCCTTTTATGATATTCACTCTTGGCGGATGCGCATACTCATATAATCGTCCCAGACTTAAACATTGTTGAATCGTCTGAGGTTGAAACATCCTAACATTCACTTGAGTATCATTTTCCAGTCCTGTCAAATACAGATTTACCAAGTAATCGTCATCTAACTTCACTCTAGTGCTAATCGACTCGAAACGAGCATGATACACCTCAATTCCTTCAGTCTCCTGCAACAGTTTCAGTTTTGCAATCGAATCTTCCACATGCTTATTATATCTCACTTGCAACAGCAGTTTGTAACTCCGCCAATCATGCCTAACATGCTTCCACCACATTGATTGTACAATTGATTGGTGCAAAGTCGCAGCAATATCATCGAAATGGATTGAAGCGATACCAACTTTCAATTCCTCCGGAGTACGATCAATTAAGAAGAATTGTTCAATCTGAAACAACCAATCCATGATTTTATCACCATGAAATCGTGGAAAATCAACTGTCTCTAACCTTTTAGGATCTACGTATCTCGAACACGATCGAAACCACATCTCTGCTACCGTTTCACGAACCACAGCGGTCGCTTCTCGAGCCACCGTCTCCTTGATTGGAGCTTGCGATCTTGACTCCGCCATGGATTCCGAGAATCTGCTGGCTCTGATACCTTTGATACAGATAAACTACAGTTTCTCCATTGATAACAAATCAAACGATAAAATTGAATCAATGTTCATAAAACACCGATCCAAATCTCATGTGCTAAAGCTTAGAATGAAGAAACAGCTTAAGCAAACAATGAGTTCAAGAATTCCATAGAATTCAGAGAACAAACCAAGAATCGGAGAAGAAGAAGATTACAATTTGACACAAATTTCATGAATGATCCCCAAATCTGTTTTTGCTTCCTTTTAACGCATCTTTCTTCATAATCTTGAGCTCCAATGATCTCAGCCGTTGATCCAAACTTCTAATCTACACCTTACACGTGTCCATTACTCCTTTCTCTTTTCCTATATCACTTATGTCTCGCAAAAGAGAAGGAATCACTGCTTTTTATATTAGGGTTGAGTCAAAAAAATAGGAATCTTTTCCAAATTGTATTTGCCTTTTTTTGTTTTTTGTGTCAACCTTTTCCCATCTGAAGTTAAAAGATGTATGCGCGCTTTTAGTCGCACTTTAATTAGGATAGTTCACGAACCAGTTGGGATTGGTGTAACGGTGAGATGATTTTTTATCTTTTGTTATGTGAATTGGATAATATGAACTATATGAGTTTTTATTCTATAATCATAAGTTGTATAAAAGTTCTGAAATCTGTCTTTTTGGCATCAAATAACGGAATAGCAAAACAAAATCCTAGGTATATTAAAAAAAAAACATCATTTTCTGGCAAATGGACTAAAATTGTTGGTCATCATGCATACACATCTCCAAATAACATTCGAGCAGAGGACAGAAGCACAGACGACGTTGAAACCCTATGCATGGATTCTAACTCCTCCATCATCTTCTGTTTCTCTTCACCACTGAAGGTTGGATTCGGCGAGATTCCCGCCGTTTTTAAACACTTGGAGTTTTCTAGAATGTACCTTATGAGTTCTTTCTCATCTTCTCTTCCTCTATATCCATCCCACTCAAAGATCTCGAGATGAGACAACAGGCATTTGGGAACAGAACTCGGTTGATTCCATATAGCTGGGTCATGATTCGCAGGTTGATCAATCTCGACTCGTGTGTCGACCATAAAAACTCTTAGCTTAGAAAAATAAGAGAGAAAAACCACAAGTGATTCACACAAGTCTTGGTCAGATAGATATATCGAACACTCTACAAGTCGAGAGTAGTTAATAACTGCGTCAGGCCACGGAAACAATATTGTATCGAACGGAAATAAGACAAGATACTTGACCGAAGAGAGAGACCTTAGACCATGTACACCGGTGATCTTTTTTCAGTATCATTGGCCCAAAAACAATTTTTTAATAGATAAAACCACATAATTGGGTCTGATCCGTATCAGTGGACTGATATCTGTGAGACTTAGTATCAGATGACGTGGCAGAAGGCTATTCGACCGTGAATGTATTTTTGGTGAAAACAGAGAAAAAAAATCTCTTCGTCGGCTCTCTCATTCCTTGTTGTCTCTTCTACTTTCTCCAGCTTTACCTAAAACGACGCCGTCCTCCTCCCTCCAACCCGACGGAGTTACCGAGAACGTCGTCACGGACTAATCTCTTCTCTCGTGGAAACTCGATCGGACGAGTTCGAGCCTCCTCTCGAGCTGTTCCTCTGGCGAAACCTTCCGATTCGCCTTATTACATTGGGTTGGAGAGAGTCAAGACGGATCCGTACGATCGGATTAAGAACACGGATGGGATTATTCAGCTTGGATTAGCTGAGAGTACAATGAGTTTTGAAAGTTTACGATGATTTCGTCTCTCTTTGTGATTGTTGCGATGAGGTTTAATCTGATTTTCATTGGGGATTGATTTTTGTAGCTGTGCTTTGACTTGCTACAGAGATGGATGTCTGAGAATTTGATGGAGTCGATGATGCAATCTGATGATGGTAAATTCGATATTAGTAGTATCGCAATGTATAAACCTATTGAAGGATTACTGGAACTCAGAGGTGTAGATAACATTCACTCGTTATTCTTCAATTTCTTGAACATGAAAAGCTTTTTTGCAATTATTAGTTAAAAATTGACTGCAAAATTGTTTTAGAATTTGTTTGATTGATATCTGTTCTTGTATATATTTGTTGTAACAACACTGTAACATTGATGATGGTAAATTTCTTATTAGGGTTCTTTGATTTTAGGGCAATTAGAGTCTCTGTTTTTGTTGACAGATTCACCTAGAATCTCTTAAATGCATGGATCTTCCACTAAGCTTGTCTCTTGTCTTGTACCCTGTTTCTTGTGTATACAAGTTGTTACAATCGAATTATCATTCTGTTTCCTTATATATGTTTATATGTATCTCCAGATAATCGCTCTTAGAAGAGCAAAGAGGAGAAACATGGAACGTTTGGTTTTGGCATGTGGTGGAGAAGCTGTGAACTCCGTTGATGACTTGACCCCTGATTCTCTTTGTTGGGCTGGATTTGTATATGAGCACGTTCTTGGAAAGGAGAGGTACACATTTGTCGAGCAAGTGAAGAATCCTCATTCATGTACTATCCTCATAAAAGGTACACAGTCCCAAACTTCTATCTCTTGAGTCTTGTCAGCTAAGTTTTGAAAGTCAATTTTACTTATCTTTATATATATATGCGTGGTCATCCATTATCTATGATTGAAACTTCTATCTCTTGTTCTCAGTTTAAGGGAATGCCAAGTAAAAGATGACACCAAAAAAATTCAAAGAAAGCAAAAGAGGTACAAGCACCTGAAATGCCATCAAGACCTGAGATTTTCAGTTCAGAGAAAGCAAAAGACAAGCACCTAAAATGCCATCAAGACCTGAAATCTAGAATTCAGAGAAAGCAAAAGAGGTCCAAGCCAATAACAGCTTCTGTGTGTATGTGTAATGTGTGTAAACTTATCATGTATGCAAATATGAATGTTTAAGAGAAAAATCTTTTTCATGGTTGAACAAAAGAGAGAAACACACAAACGTGTGATCTAAACTTCAAATTGCAACAAAATTGACTGGCATCTTGTAACTTGTTGTTCTGTTTAGCGTTTTTTTTTTTTTTGCTTATTTGCAAAATCAATTTTGTTACAAATCAATATTTTTATAGATTGTAATATTATCTTTTGTAATTTTAGGTTTTTATATATTTATTTTCGATTTTGCAAATAATTTTTTTTTTTAATGATACCGATACCGGTCTCACCACTGGAAACAGATTTATTACCAGTATCATAAAAAATCTCAAACAATAAACACATTATAAATAATACTAAAAAATTGTTAATGATACTTTATGAGTATCACCTATGTGCATGCTCTTAGAATGTTTTCATTAAGGTAGAACTCAACATCAATTTCAGCTGTAACAAGATGAGGCATGTACTCAACTGAGCAAGAGTGTCCAAAGTATCAATGTCAAGATACAATAAATTCGGGGTGTCTATAACCAAAGACCTATCAGTATCATCATCCTCTTCTTGAAATATCTTATCCACTGTACTCTAATTTCAATAAAGAAGGAACTTTCACACTAAACTTTCTCACATTATTATCAATACGTTTATCTCGAATCACCTTTAGACGCTTGAGAGCGGGACAACTTGATAAAAGCCTAACATGAGAATCTTCGTCTTTGTATACAACACAGGAGAGATCAAGTTCTGTGAGGGATGGGAGAGAGACTTGATGAGGAACGTCCACAAGAATCTTGTTGGCGAGAGTTAATCTTCTAAGCGTTTTGCAAACGTAAATGCTCTTAGGCATTCTGATCGGTTTGCTTTTCCAAAGGAGATTGAAAGCTAGCCAACGCACGCGACTATCAACTGCTTTTGCAAACCACTTTACAGGATCAACATCAACAGGACACTGTGGACCGAGTTGAATCAACAAACGTTCTAAGAAAGTTGCCTTGTGAAATCGCATCGATTCGTCAAGAAACCACCAAACACTTTTGCTTTCGACGTCACTGTTGTCATTGGCTTCTTTATAGTCAAGTCTAGGCAACATCGTCCAGACAAATCGCCATCTTTTAGACAAAAACGTGGTGGCCACGGCATCTTTGGTCGGAACAAGCAATAATATCTTTATGAGCAAATCGTCAGACAACGAACTGATTCTGTCCTCTTCACAATCACAAACTCTCTTTTGAATTTTCCAAGGACGTTCAGCAACTGCCATACTTCAAAAGTAAACCCTAGCTAGATCACCCTGTTACTTGTCGTGTCGCGGTGAACATGATCAGTGAAGAATACAAGTTTATATATGACGAAATATTCCCGTATGGGCTTCCAACTCAAAACCAATTGGCAATGAGTGGATTGACCCTAACCCTTTATATATCACTTGATAATTTCTCCAACTTCCGATGTGGGACTTTCTCTCATTAACACCCCCCTCACGCTCAGGCATCGTTGGCTCTGAAGCGTGGGCATATGTGGGAACAACATCCACGGGGTGGCCTGATTTGGGACTTCAATAACACCCTCCCTCACGCTCAGGCATGAACATCTGAAGCGTGGGCATATGTGGGAACAACATCCACAGGGTGGCCCAACGATCGGGTGGCTCTGATACCATGATAGATTTGGGCTTTAACATGGGCTTCCAACTCAAAACCAATTGGCAATGAGTGGATTGACCCTAACCCTTTATATATCACTTGATAATTTCTCCAACTTCCGATGTGGGACTTTCTCTCATTAACAATTTTCATGGGATACGGCAAAGATATTTTCGTGTAATTATCTTCCAATTAAAGGTATATTTACTTTCCTAGATTAAGATTTATTTACTTTTCCTTGATTAAATTATAACCATAAATTTATAAAAAAAATTCATACTCCCGACATTCTTAATTTATAAAAGTTTTACCGTAATACAAATAAATTTAAATTTCGTGTTTTAAGAAGTTCGAGAGTGGTTTTTAAAGATGTTTTAAATATCGTTTTGTAGAACATGAAAAGAGCGATTCACTACTTCTAAAACCTTAAAAGTAGGACATATATTTTGAAAATCAGTAATACCATCCACGCAGTTTTATCCCTTATCATACATAACAAACGTATTCATAATGGCGTTCATGTTATTCTACAAATACCTTTTATTTATAATAACAAGCTTTCATGATAGGATCGAAACTTCTTGTCCAAGGAAGTTCCACTACTCAATCATCCTTGATTACATGTTCCCAGTCCGAGTTCGGGCTCTCGTAGCCTTTGCCAGATGCAGATTGTTCAGTGTCCGCAGCGCATGTTTCTCTCTGAGAATGTCCACGTATTGGGAACATCGAAGCTGACCAGAGATGATCACGCTTTTGTGGCTGGTCATTGTCTGAATCTGAATCTACATCCAAGTTGTTGAGAGATCTCTTCACTTGTTCAGCTTCCCGGCGTTTTAGTATCTGGAATCTATCCATAACATCACTCACATGGCTGCTTCTGCCAATATTAGCCATCACTGAAGCTTCTAGTTTCTCCTCCTGGTCACCCTTTTTTGTCTCTGGACAGTTTTGAGTCTTGAGTTTGCGATTCGTTTCCTGCTTCTTGAGAATCTGAAACCGGTCTATAACATCAATGTCTGAATCTGTTAACTTCTGAGACTTGAGTTTGCGCTCTGTTTCCTGCTGCTTCAGAATCTGAAACCGGTCTATAACATCATTATGTTTGTTCTCTGTAGTGGATGCAGGGGATTCCTGCCGTATCGCATCCGGTATCTTTACAGAGGTTGCAACATCAGGCCTTAAACCACCTGTAAAGCTTCGGGACATAAGCGATAATACTGCATCCACAGGATCTGAGTTGAATCTAGAACATTGTGATGCATCATGACTCATTGTTACTACATTGTTTCCACAACTGCTTCCATGTTTGCTGATCGATTCAGTTGTCTCCTTCTCTGCATTTGCATTGTTCATGATGGGAACCGATTTCTGGGGGTTAAGAGAAGGTTCCTGCATAAAGGTTGCTGCATCTGCAGAGATCTCTGAGAAAAGAAAGCAAGACATGAATGATTAAAACATAGGTAAAAAAAATTATTTTCGTAAGATGATGCGAAGGGTAAGCATTTCTGATACTAAATCTAAAGTATGACTAAACAACCTTTTAGCCAATGTTTGAATTTGGTAAACCAAAGTTGACCTATAACTGGGTTAAATCTCATCCATAAAAGAACTACTGCCTGCCATTCTCAAAGAAAGATACAAAACTGATCGTCTACAGATGATTTACTTAATTCGTAAAGGACCCTAAAGAAACAGCATCCTAAATCTCCTCTATGTCATTTTTAGTGTTTAACTGTCTGTGGATCTGTTGTAAGCAATTAAGCATAGAAATGGCATCTATGACAGGGATTGAGGAGAAAATGCACTTGCAATGCAGCTCTAGTCACTAATAATATCAGACAGATGAGACGGTTAGTTTGAACGTTACCAACCTTTATTGTTAAATTTGAGATTATCAATCTCGTTCTTGACCCGATGATACCGAGCCATGCAAGTTGTGGAACATAAGGCAGCTTCAGTTTCGAGCCAGAGACTCTTGTACAAGAGAGTTTGTGGGTGGTTTTCTTCACCATCAGGAAAGTTGGAAGCAAGAATGTTCTTAATACTCTGCAAAGTTAAGATTCAGTAAGCAAGACTTTACAGATGATGCACAAAAATACTATGTAAGTAAATACCTGGGTCATTTCATTCTTATCCACCGGTTCTTTGACGCCAAAGCTGTCTAGTGGCTTGACAGTAAAACCTTGAAAGTCTTTAGCAATTCCCTTCGCGGCCTGAAGAAGTGTACCGTTAAACAAATAACAGCAAACAAGAACAAGCAATGTGTTTTTTTATCAAAAACCAAATAGGTCGGGAACATAGCACAAATTAACACTTTACCTAGGCTCTTGTGAATACTCTAAATATCACAAGTGGTGCTCTAGATTATAAATACATTATTATCTCATCATGCATGCTGATTGTTTTTTTTTAACTTCTAGCTATGCTATAAATCACAAAATGCCGGCGTAAAACTGGAGCATACCTCATGCATAGCTTGCGTTGGAAGTGAGGCTTCCCCTGCTGTTGACTTATTATCAGTTATTTTCTTTAAGCACTTTGTGAGATTATCTACTACTTTGTCAAGGTTCTCAAGTTGCTCCAGCTTCAGCCAGCTTCCATTGTTAAAGCATTCATAAACAAGCACTTCTGACAAATTATGCATGGCGTTAACCACAGAAGAAACTCTTGGAGAAGAAGTCGGAGATGGGAAGTCTCCTTGATCACAGAAGTGTTTTTCAGGTGATCGGCCAGTTGAGACATCATCTGCATTTGATCTGCTACTCAAATCGAGACCCAGATCTGTCAACAACATGATCTTCTTATCTCTATCTATTATATCAAATGTTTGTTCCTGGAGATTACAAGACTTTTGGTTAGTTGGAACATCTTCACTAGTTTGGGTGGTACCACCTTCGAAAGGGGGTTTATAGTTGACAGCTGATTGAGCATTCTCATTATCCGCTTTCATCGTGGGAGCTGAAGGTCCCTCAGAGGTTACCATGAAGTGGCTCCAAGATCGAGGCTCGTGACAATTTAAATCTTCAGATGCATTCTTCAAGGAGCTCTCAGAAACACCATTCTCACTGTCAGCAACCAAAGTGTAAGGCCTCTGGTAAAGGGAGGAGACACCACTACCTTCTAGTTTATCATTTATCAGTGACACTGAGGAATTAATATTAGCTGGTAGGGGGTGGGAAGATCCTGGGCTTCTCAAACCTTGCGAGCCAGCTATCCGATAGCGAAGATCTGGATTCTCGGGCGAAGGCCTGATATGACCAGTAGCTTCACCATATCCAAGCAACACATCGAAGTTAACTGGTTCAACAGAGGAACTCTGCAAGCTGGATTGAGCTCCTAAAAAATTCTCAGGCGCTTGACTACAAACATCACTGTTGCTAGGGAATGATCTCCCATCTCCTAAACGAACCCCGGTCTGACTTCCATCAAAGAGAGCTTGTGTTTTCAAATTCGTCATTGGCAAAGATGGATTACAATCTGTAACACCTATGTAAGGCTCCACATGAGAAGCAGAGACAACATTCATAGTTTCAGGAAAGTAATATCCAGGACGATTCTCATCAACAACATTGCTAGAAGCGTAAACACCAGATGACGTAATAGGCGTAAAGAATGGTTCCCGAGAATTTTTGATTAGCATATCTGCATAAGAAGACACTGGAGCTAAGGTAGCTGAGTTGTAGGTAGGCGTAAAGTTCAAACGTTGCCTCTCCCAGAAATTGTCAGCGGGAAGTGACACAAAATCAGATGATGATTCCCTTGAAGAGTAAAATCCACTCGGTGATAACATTTCTTTATAATAATCTTCACCTCTTGGACCACAATTTCCTGCAATAACATAACCTTTATGCGTAAGAGCATCAAAAAGAAGATCAAACCCAAACGAATCAAAATAGTCCCAAGAAAATTGATCTATCTACAAATCCACAGTTCGGAACCATCACAGTACCGTTAAACCCCAAATTTGTTTTAAAAAAAAGGATTCAAAATCATACCAAGTCGAGTATTGTCAGCGTAAAACGATGAGGAAGGCGTCTGAGAGCGAGAATTTTCACGATACGATGGATTATTTGACCAATCATCCGGCGATCGTTGATAAGAGCCGGGATACATCATCGGATCAAACACTTCTTTGGTTGGATCATAGGATTCAACCGGATTGCTTGGTTGAAACGGCGGCGCAGAAGCTGGATGAGGCGGAGGCGGAGATGAGAGCCACAACGGGTACGCTATTCCAGAGAAACCACCATAGCTGCGAAATCCATCGGCCATCGTTTTCCTCACCAAAACGATGAAGAGACTGGTGAAGAAAAAAGTGTTGCTGCAGCTGAAGTGTTTGAGAATTGTCAAACTTTATCGGAATTAGCTTCTTAATGGGCCTGTTAATGGTCTAGGCCTTATAAGGAAAGCCCTATTATGTCATTTGTCATTATCTAAAAGAAAAAATTTAACTGATTGATTATTATCACAGATTAATTAAAAATACAGATAAATACAGGAGTGAATAAAAATCTTAACCAATTTATGTAATTATCATTTGATATATTTTCCTAATCATATGGAAAATTACATTTTATGTATTTCACATTTTGATAATAAAAGTCAAAGACTTCATTTGATTTATCTTTAATCAAACCAACAACATTGAGTTAATAAAGAGCATATTGTTTAAACTACTTATGTGCCTCTTGTTTTGACTTTTGAGCATAACAAAAGTCTAAAATACATAACCACAAACAACAGCAGTTGAGCTGTTTAAATTATGAACATCAAGCAGTTTTTTTCTCGAAGCAAAGATGTTTCGTCACACATACAAAGTTTCCTGGACAAAGCACATTCAAACAAGCTATATACACTAGAGTATCTGTGAATCTCCACAGATACATGGCAGAGTGGCCTTACGGCATTGAAACATTACCTTTTAGAGACGTTGAGCAAGAAACTTGGCCAAAGAATCAACAGGCTTGGCTGAGTCGATATTTCCCATTTCCCCTGACCGGATTTTGATTTTTGCAAGATAATCAGCTGCAATCCAAGCAAAACTCAGCATCACCGCATGACTAGACGGCTCATCTGGATCTTGCAGCTCTAAAGACTTCTTCACCCACTTGGGATGGTAAGTGACATGATACCAAGCTGAAGCCTTCTTCTCATACAAAATGTTCTTTTCCTCTTCGCTGAGCTCTTCGTGGTCCAGGATTGTTTCCTCAAATACTTTTCTGAACTCTTTTTTCAGGGAATTGTAAGAATGCTTCAGTCTTTCTTTCAGGTCGCATTGTTTCTTACTTGTGTATTTAGGCATGGACCAGATATGACCCGTCACAATCTCTTCCTCTTTCTGGACCTTGTATTGCCCGAGAAGACCAATGAGCTGCCTGTCGTAAGAACATTTGTGCCCCCATGCTTCGGGGATCAAATCTTCAAATCCTGGTATTTCAAGATCAATGTCATAAGGGATGTCACTTGGGTCTGAGCTTTCTTCTGAGGAAGCTTCTGCATCTTCATCGTAAACTTCTTTTACCCGCCTGTAAAGCCGGCCCAAGATTTTGCTCGACTTGTAAGTTTGGTAGTCTTCTTTTCCCATGAAATCTGGGTAGAGTTTTGGTTTTAGGTGGAAGGGCATTGACACAATTTTCCCTGTCTTTGGGGAATCAACTGCAGTGGCAGCTAGTTCTGCCAGTAGCACACATTCTTCGTCCATGGCTCCATACTCACTTCTATCAGCATGAACGACATGTGCATTACAAATTGTGCCCAAATGCTCATTCGCCATGTTTCTTGCAAAGAAATCAATTATATCCTGTAACAAAAGGGATCAATTACCCAAGACTTGTTTTGCAAGCACAACGAAAGAAAGAAATTAACAAAGAATTCATAGCTACATTGGCAGAAGCTAGCATCATGGTACTGCCCTTGATAATAACTAAACAGTCACAGTAAGGCATGCGAAAACGTCAAATCAGAATCCACAATATATGACGAAGTTTTCTTAAATGTCATCATCTTAGCTCCTACAGGATGAACACAGTATGCTATTAACAACCCATGCAATGCAATCTAAGAACTCAGAAGCAAGCAAAAATAATCACTACAAGCATCCAAAAACAAAGTTTCCAGCACTTTCAGTAATATCATAGAGTTATACTGGAATCACCTATCCATTTTATCTTAAGCGTCATCATCTCAGCTAACAGAACAAAAGTGGAGAAGTAGATATTGACCTGGTGGTTGACAGCACGGCCTAAAGTCTTCTCTTCAGCGGCATCATAATGCATGGCCGGATAGCTTTTTCTGTTGGGAGGGATGAGTTTCTGATCCCAAGCCACAAAGTACAGGTCCCCGTCAAGGTCACTGCCAGAAGCTTCGTTTGTATGGGGCCTATCACCTTTCTTGGGGAAAATAAGGCAGTCATACATGTGATGCAGCTGGGGTACATCAACAGCTTCTAAAATCCTTACATCCCCTGGGTGAAGACAAGGATTCTTAGCAATAGCTACATAGCCTTTAACTACTTCCAGATCTGTCTTTGTCTCCTTAAAACGAGACCCATGTTTGGAGAAACAATTTTCTATAGACGGTTTTGAGACTTGGATAAAGCATTGGCCATGTTCAAGTTTCCCTGCTTCGTCTAGGCAACCCATTAGCCACCTTCCTGAAGTAACAAAAATACGTGATTTTTCTCTGAGACCCCAGAGTTGTGCAATTCTGACTGAAGACAACATTCCGCGTAGATGTGGCTCAGTTTTTGGTTTGAAACCTGCACTTAGCATGATAGCTGCAGTGTTTCCCTGTTCAGCACATGATGCCGTGAGAACTTCAAATGCCACATCTGTATCATCAAGGATGCGGTTCAGTTTATAGAGCATGGATTCCTGCATATCCCAAAATATTTCATCCGGCACACCTAGTACAGAAAGGAGGGTAATTATCTGCCGATTTAAGAATCCAGGTTGAAACCTCGTCCAGGAACAGATCTCCAAGATGGTATGTTTGGAATTGAACTTCTTCATACTATCTCGAAGGGCTAGCCTGATTCCATCACCTTTTGATGGCCAACGAGCAACAACTCCTTTGAAACCTGCGTAACGTATCTGATAAGCACAAGGGGTACAGTGGAGATCCAACTTAAGTTTCTCCATTACTTCGTCAGCGAGGTCAGGTGTGATTGTACCAATTCCATCAGAGAAAACATACCCATTTCTCTCAATGTCTGGAAGCTCGGTGTTAACCTCGTTAGGCATGACATCTACAGTGGCATATGTGGAGGAGAAGCACAGGCCCATCCTAGCAGCACATTTTGCCACATTCTTGTCTTTGAACTTCCCCATCCATGCTTTTATATCTGACACTCGTGTTTTCCCGTCTTCAGCAAAGAACCATGCAGAGCTGTCTCTCAGTTGATTGGCTGAGAATGCTAGAAAACTGTATTTTCTACCACATAGTTTAAACCCATCAGTTAATATGCTCTTCACTCTTTTAAAAACGTAGGTCTTCTGGGAGAAAGAGCTTGATGTCAGATCCTTCACAATAGGAGCAACAAAGTAAGAGAGAACATTCGAATTTATGGTCTGCATACTTTCGTCCATGAAAGTTACGCGCAAAAATCTTTCAGCAACAGCTCTGTATTTCCTGAGTACCCTGTTGGAGAGCTCAACTTCTGGGGGTAGGCAATAGGCTCTGGTTGGGGTAATCACTAGCCTTCTGATCTCAGAGATATCCTCAGACTGTTCATGACCCCCTAAAAGCTTTGGATTTTTCAGAATCCATTCCTGAACAAGCTTCAACCTCTTGTACGCATCAAAAACTGGTCGTTTATAGGTACAGAGATGCTTGAGAGAAGCTATATTGACGTCCTTGGGCTGGTTTCTGAGAAGATCAAAGAAACGCTCAGTCAGCTGAAACTGGTTAAAAACCCCCCTGTGCAACACCGAATTTACTAGGAACATGATCTCAAAGGAGATTCCTTCCTTGTGATGAATGCAGAAGAAATGATCTGACACAGGCTCCCCAAAACAGGGCTCATTACGGATCCGGGGAGGCCACCTCACACGTTCCTCTTGCACCCTCCGCATCCTTAGATACTCTAAGGCTGTTGTCAGTTTCTTTTCATACCGTGGAGATATGAGCACTCGATATGAGTGGCATCGACCAATTGCCCCAACTTGGGTAAAATCAGTGGTACGGATCCAAGGGTCATCATCATCCAAGAGATCGACAGGGATAGTATCGTGTATATCATCATCAGCAGTTCTGTACCAGACACGGGGTGACGAAGCCAGCTGCAAAATAAGTACATAGCCATGCGAGTTTTTATACTGCCTGACTGTTTGTATATCTCTCACCAATAACTCCAGCTTATAATCACAATTGATCACAGCATGCATCACTGCATCCTTGAAAGAAAACGCAGTGCTCTTTCTGAAGCAAAACTTGCACGTATTGTCAAAAGGATCCACCAGGAAATCAACCCCATCAGCTCTCCAAGAAACAAGAAACTCATCCCGGGAAACCAAGGTCCCAATCTCAAGTGAAATACCAGCCAACTTATACGGTGTGGTCGTTCTTCTTCTCTGGTTAAGGGTGTATGGGTTCTTAGGCCCCAAGCTGACTTTTAACGGCTGGCCATCCAGGATGAGGTTGCATTGCCCCGCAGCATCCATGGCACGAGCTGCTGATTCAGGAACTGCGAAATGGACAAACGCATGAGGCTCCACTTTCTTGTAATCATCAAATTTGGGGATACTTGAAGTGTCTGCGATTTCAAAATTAGGATAAGAGCCAGGAGGAGTCCAAGAAGTTTTTAATCTGCATCGCCAAACAAGTCCTAGTTCATCTTCAAGGTAATCTGTAAGTTGTTTAGCAGTAGTGGACTCTCCAAATCCACCAATGCTTACTTGTGTCACAACCGAGTTCTTCATACTTCCCTCTGACCCCATTCTCCTGGAAAAAAAAAAAACAGTCATGTCACTATTGAAGAAAAGCCCTAATTCGCTACTCCGTGGGAAGATCAGAGAAGAGGAATATCAAATTAAGAGACAATATCGATGATTCCAACTACAAGCACTGTTGAAATTGATCAACCAAAACACTCGTGATTGAATAAGTTTTGAATCAAGCGGGAATAAATATCAAAGCACGATCAAATTAGGTTTTCGAGACTTACACAGTGAGATCTTCTTCAATCTAATACTGGAAACGAGATAGACATAGAAGCAATGCGAAGACCGGAGAGAGGATTAGTGAGTAGGCGAATTAGGGAGAAACCGCGCCATAGCTGAAACCATTTTTCCTCTCATTAATCTTGACTTCTCTCTAGTAAACGAAAGA